ATTGATCTCTCTACTGCTATCTTTATTTTTAGTGCTGAGTAGTCGCCTTGCTTTTGTTCTGTGAAAATCAGCTCTGTTTTATTTTATATCTGCAGTGTTTTGTAGCATTCTTAATATTTTGTGAGATTTGATTACCAGTATTCTTCGCATTTATTTTTAAATCCTTTTTCACTTTGGGCGATTCCCGCTACTTGCCACCAAACCCATCAATCCTGCGTTGCTTTTATCTCGTTTTTTGGTTCTTCCATTTTGTTAAATCTATCGTATACTTTTTTTGTCGTAACATAATTACTACCCAAAATTTTAATTCACATTCTTTTAGTCTCTCCAGGTGTTCGCTTCACCTTCATAGTTGTCTTTTAATCCTCTTTAGGATTTCGCTTATCTTTGTTCTTTTTCTTATTTCTTATTAAGCAAATTAGCTAACAGGACAGAGATACTAGCCAGCCTACTAATACCTAAATCAGCCTGCGTAGAGACCAGTCTTGTCACATAAATTAAGAGAAAGAAAATACATCAAATATGGGAAAAAGACGCCTACAAAACAGATCGAGCTGTAAAAGATGTGGCTAGATCACATAGAAATAATCTAGGTCCTCCAAGAACTAGGTCCCTCTATTGCATAATGGACCCAAACGGGAACTCAATATATAAAATTTCCATGAGTATTTGCTATCGACAATTTTAAGCGCGTATACATCTTATTCCCTTTTGGGAACGTTCATTCTTAGATGTGTATTGTGTGTTGCCGATATACCCATCGGTTATTTCAATAAATAGCAGTTTTGTTTGAAGTGACCTTCGAGTAAGTTGTTTGTTTAGCACGTGTATTTTATTTTCAAATATCAGCTAAAAATAAGGTAAGTTTGATAAATAAAAATTATATACGCGTTTATAAGTGTTGTAAGGATCTACTGATATATTGAAATAATAAATTTACTTTGTTGTTGTTAGAATTTGCCCCAAATTATTACTGTTCCCGTACGGGAACATTGTGTGCTAAAAGTAAATTTTGAAACTGAAAAATTTTTATATTTTATAGCTTGTTTTTATCAAGATGGTACTTATTTAATGCATTATTGGTTTAAATAAATTAATTTGAATAAACCTGAAGTAAACTTTTTTTTTCAGAAAAAAAATGGATGAATTTGAAAGTATTCCACCAACATCGTTTTACAACAATAAAGCAAAAACTATTCAGCCCTATAAGTTACGACAGATTCCATCTGAAAGTGAAGATTCGGAACTATCTGATGAAGATAATGTTGAGCCGTTAGCTGCACAAACTACCCGGCCCAGAGTAATCATTGACAGTCAAGAAGACTCTGATAATGAAGATGATAATTTATCAACCGATGATTCGGATACTGAACTACCTACTAAACAAAAATCTAGCAAAAAAGTCAAATGACATGGCATCCTTCAAAAACTTTGCGAAATATAGATGAACTGCATTTTGAAGGTAGTGAATTACTTCCAATCAACATATTGCAGCTCAACTCTCCTTACAAATTGTTTAGTTTTTTTTGACACCAGATTTTATAATTGAGGTAGTTCGACAAACTTGTATATACAGCGCTCAAACAAATCCACAAAAGCCAATTACCACATGTCCTGTAGAAATTGAAAATTTTATGGAGATATTGCTGTGGATGTCTCTAATAAGACAACCTACTACAAGACGCTATTGGGCTCCGACAACAAGAATTTCACAAGTTGCAGATGTAATGCCTATCAATCGTTTTGAAACAATCAAAAGGTTTCTTCATTTTAGTAATAATTTAGAAAATACGCGCAGTCTTGACAAAATAGCGCCTCTGATTGAACAAATAAAAAGATCGTGTTTGCAAATACCTTTAGAAAAACACTTATCTTGTGACGAACAAGTTATATCGTTCAAAGGATGTTCGAGCATGAAGACATACAATCCCAAAAAGCCTCATAAATGGGGATACAAGATGTTTTCATATAATTTTGAAATTTTGGCTGGAAAAGATGGTTACACATAATTACTGAATGAAGTAAATTTGGGAGCTGCTAGTAATGTTGTAGTTCGGTTGAGCAGAGAAGTACCATCCCATAAAGATCACAAAGTCTTCTATGATAATTATTTTTCAAGCATACCACTGGTGTTATATTTGTCAAAACGAGGCATACGTTCTATCGCAACAATCCGTACAAATCGAATTCTCAATTATAAAGGTTGAAAATTACAAAGGGGTAGCATTCAGGAACACTCTGGCACGTATGAGAATACTACAATACATACAGTCCAGTGGTGTGACAACAAAATTGTGTCTTTACTGTCAGATTATTGTGGAACTCAACCAACAGCCAAAGTGGAAAGATTCTTTCGCACCGAAAGAACTAGGAAAGAAATTGATTGCCCAGACATTGTACAACAATACAACAGGCACATGGGCGGTGTGGATCTGCAAGATTCCTTATTGGGATTATATCCAATCAAAATCAAAAGTAAAAAATGGTACCACCGTATTTTCTATCATATGCTGGATATAGCAGTAGTCAATGCTTGGCTATTAGACAGGCGAATTAAAAAACAAATTGGAAAAACTGAAGAGATTATACCACTGCTGAATTTCAAAACAATTCTAGCTGAACAACTAACTAACAGTGGTCTTTTACAAAAAAGAAAAGTAGGTCGTCCTAGAAGTTCTACACCCGAACAACCATCCAAAAGAAGATGCATTGAACCTAGACCCAATATATATGTACAAACAGATCAGTTTTCACACTGGCCAAACTGGACTGTAAACAGGAAAAGATGTAAGTTGATAAACTGTAAAGGAAAATCAAGGGTCCAGTGCGAGAAATGTAAGGTGCATTTATGCTTTCATTCTAAAAGTAATTGTTTTAAGAAGTTTCACAATTTGGAATAGTGTGTTACTGACAATACATCTATCTAATGTGTATGACAATTGGTTCTAATAAAAGTTTTTATACATAATGTTCCCAAATGGGCACACATTTTTTTTTTCAAAAACTGGATCATTTTTAAAAAACTATATATATCGGTGAATTCTACATACATGTATTAAGAGTAATTTAATATAATTTTATTTTATTTCGTCAAAAAATAAAATAAAATAAATTCATGCAATAGAGGGTTAAAGTAGGTTAAAAAGTGTACTTCCTTTTTCCACCGGACTATTCAAACGGTATTGTGCCTCAAATAATTCTAACCTTTATTTCCATAATCGTTACAAATTTGGTTATTTTTAATAATTTTGCTGAAAATATATTATGAACTTTTTTGGTTTACAATAATATGTAATTCATTATACCTTTTTCAAATTATTGCTTGTATCAAACCACTGCTATTTGTTTTTAAAGATAAAGAAGCTTTACAAATTTTTGCAACTACAAATCGAAGTATTTACATGTTTCACTTAAAATTCGCTACAAAATAACCTTGCTAAAACAACTAATGCTAAGAAAATATTTTTTTATAAAAGATACACATAATGCATCTTTCAAATTATCATCGCTTGACCAAGCTAAGGACTTTTCAAAACGTGCTTTATCTTAATTAAACATACTTTAACTTCGAGATTATCGTTACACTTAATTATTCGTTATTTCTATATTGCTATAGTTTTAGAGGAAGGGTCCTTCCTGACCGATCTACTCATTTATTGCTTTTGAATACCCGGCTCTCCGGGGGCAATATGCCGAACCCAAAATACCCGCCATTTCATATACGCAACAATATATTTTTTAATTGAAATATATATGCATGGTAAACAATATAGAATAATGGAAATGTTTAAAAAATTAACCTGACAGCATCATTTTAAACAGTTTATTTAAATAATATAGAAGTAGTTAATAGCAAAAATTTATGATACTCCTTGTTAAGACTGTTTCCTGTTCATTTGCATCACATCTCACCTCGATTTTTTTGCCAAGATAACATAATTCAATAGATTTATTTAACCAAAAATTTTTTATATACAGTGATTAATCAAATTATTAGAGCCATCCCACAAAATTTTACTTTTTGTTTAATAATGGTATGTAATTGGGCTATAAAACATATTTTTGTAGTATAATTCTGTTTTACTTTGATTTAGAAACTAATAAAGTTTACAAGTATTAAAAAAGTAACGGATTATTATATAAAAACACTTAAAATTATGCTTTAAGCCTAATAGGTAGATACTTGGTAGTGTCATCCTTTGCAGCAATGACTGCTTGTCAAGTTCTTGGCATACTTTCTATGCATTTCTGCAACGTTGTTGAATTATTGCACTTCTGTGCCATACTGATATTAAACGCTCGATCATTTGACGCGTCGTGGTTATACTTTTAATAAAATTATTTTTCTCATGGGCTTCCAAAAATTTTCTATTGGATTCAGATCTGGCAAATTGGCAGGCTAGTTGAGCACCTTTTGAAGCCTTTTTTTTTCATGGTTGGTGTGAGCTCTTTTTCAGGGCAACAGATCACCAAATCTATTATTAGCTGTCATTGGTGAAAGACAATATCTCGAATTTTTGTTTCATCTCATGGTGTGTTCTACCACATTTTTGTTTAAGCTGTGGGGTTAAGTCCAAATTTTTGTCAAGTTTTTTCTTTATACGGTCCAAAGTTGCTCATGAAACTTTAGAAATTATTGCTTTTTTTCTCTTAAAGTGATAATTATTATGTTAATAATAAAATTTTTTGTTATTGAACTTACTTATGAGATGGTCTTGGTTTTTCCCACGATGTTCTGTTACCACTGTTACGTATATAAAATTAAAAAATTGAGTAAACAAATAGGAAAATAAAACTTAAAAAAATCAAAATTATATGGTGTTTATTTTCAAAATACCTGTAACATATTAAATAATTCAGGATACTTTTCTTAACATATGGCTTGCTATCTTATTGTGTTATTACAGTTTCAAATGGTGCTGTCTAATTGACACTAAAATATAAAATATGTCGGAACAGACAAATGTTTCGCGTATATCATAATATAATGCTTTAAAAATTTAGTTTTCGTTGTAAATATTGGTGTATAATATTTTGGCATTCTGAAAAGTAGGAACCTGGAATGTTAAATTTTATTAAAAATATACAAAATAATTACAAAATTTGTTGAAAAATCTTATAATATTCATTTGTGCTTCTCCATATTTACAACGTTTTACACAAACATTTTCAAATTAATTAGAAATGACAAATTGGGGTTACAATCACATAAAGAATACTCACATGTAGGATGTATTAGCACAATATAGATTTCGAACTCTAAATAAAGGTCACACATATCAAATCAGGTCGAACAGGAGGCCATTGTATAAATTTAGATTTATTACGAGTTTTTGTGAATTTTTTTAAACATCAAAATAATCTTTTATAAATTAAAAACACAAAAAACTTTTTCTCTTTTTAACATATTGTGGACCAGCTTGAGCTATCCAGATATATGATTACATACAGAAATTAATTATATTATGCATTGGTACTTTGTTTAGAGTTGGAAATATGTCATGTTAATATCGTTTAAAGTTTTTTAAGCGCTTAGCAGTTTTAAAACAAATTAAGTTTACGTCGTATTACAAAATTGACAATGTGTTCGTAATATTATGTTTTGAAACTGCCAACTACTTTAAATTTATCGATTAACGGTGTTATAATTCGAGTATTTACATATTATACAATATGTCATATTATGGAATTGCTTATTTTTGATGAACACGTAAATGTCAAATATTGCTTTTGGAAAATGAATCACATAGAGATATTTCTTTAAAGTTGAATTAAGACCAAATATGTATGAGTTACTATTTAGGTATATCATATCGTATGGATACTCCAACTAGATCCATAGACATTTGCCTTTAGTGGAACATTTCTGACAAAATATTTATTTCTTAGCCTCGTGATCACAAACATATTTATGTTTTATACAGATTTGGCCAGTAGTGTACTTGTTGTATGTTATATTTGATTCTATACACAAACTAACAGTTAAAGAGTTTATAATAATGATTTATTTATTATTAAAAAGGTATATTCTACCAAGAGTAAATTATTTTTATCCCTTAAAATAAATGTTGAAAAGAGCCAGGCTCGATATAAACTATAGACAAACATACTCATCGTACACTCTCAATTAAATTTGGTTCTGGTAAAATATTCTTATAGTTGAAACAGTAAGTATATGCATATTAACGTCTCCATTTCGATTATGATCCTAACCGGATACGATATCGATACGTTTCATAGAATATTTTATCGATACATTAAGTAAGATACAACTTGCATCGATAGTTTGTATACACTTTTTTGACTGTGCTTAGTTTTTCATAAAAAAAATTAAACATTTCACATCGACTACTAAAAAAATATTGAAATGCAATTGAAAACTGCGCATATATATATATATATATATATATATATATATATATATATATATATATATATATATATATATATATATACATATACATATATAAGGTAATATTAAAAATAACATCTTTAATTATGATGTTTGTAAAGAATGTTTTTCCATTACAGCAAGTTCTGATGAAGGCCAAAATTATGTGGCGAAAGCTTGACTTTTAATAAAAGACACTCACTTTGAAGCATCCGTTTTTTATTGCTTCCTTAGTATTGGGTCGTTCCCGGTTACCTTCAACTGTCTCTTGTTTACCAGGAACCCGTTACTGTCCTCGACTTTCTTTATATATAAATACATATATATATATATATATATATATATATATATATATATATATATATATATATATATATATATATATATATATATATATATATATATATATATATATATATATATACATATAAATACACATATTTTATATAATATGAAATAAATCTATCAAATCGTTATACTCTGAGACTCTACCAGGAAATAAATAGTTAGCAACAGAAATTGAAACAAAAGCAATGCTTACAAAATGCACTATTATTGTTTAGCCTAAATAGTTTTTCATTTATATATGGCCTTAAAACATTCTTCCAAAACTGTTTCCAAAATTTAAGTTTAAAAAACACTTAGTTCGTTGTACAGGCAACTATTCATTAATTGATTTCACGATGTAGATTATTGCTTATGAATATCGCGAGGACCGCAGATTCGGGTATGCTCCCCCGAAGTTATTGCCAGAAAATGTTAATATAAACTATATATATTTTTAAATAAATAACTCCTATCGTCTATATTTTGCACTCACGCTACTGTACATGTGCTCAGTTCTACGCTACTGGACGTGGGTCATCTAATCACAAAATTGTCAAAGAACAGAAGTAAGGATATTTGAGTTAGGTCTAAAAGATTCGTTCAATGGGTTATTAAAAATAATAGGAATATTTAAATTAATATACGTAATGTTGTATGAAACTTGAACTACATATTTATTTATTGCTGTATTACTTTACTAATATTTGTCACCTAAATGGTACTTCTTCTTTAAGTTTCGTCTCCGCGACGAAGGTTGGCAATCATCATGGCTATTCTGACCTTCGAGGCAGCTGCTCTGAACAATTGCCTTGAACTGCAAACAAAACACTCTCTCAGGTTCTTCAATCAGGAAATGCGTCTTCTTTCCACGCTTCTCCTACCCTTTATTTTTCCTTGAGTTAGGAGTCTCAAGATGTTAAATCTTTCGCCTCTCATTACATGTTCTAGATATTGCTATTTTCTTTCTTTTATTGTATTTTCCATTTCCCTCTCTTTGCCTATTCTCCTTAACACTTCTGCATTCGTGATTTTATCTACCCATGAAATCCTTAACAATGATTCAGCTTCATAGTAGAGTACACTGTTTACATAGCATTTATTTAGACTTATTCTGAGGGCCAATGTCAGATCTTTGCTGCATAAAATATTTTTCATTTTGACGAAGTTGGCACGTGCTTTTTCAATTCTGACTCTTATCTTTGCAGTATTTTCTGTGAAACTTCTAACTTCTAAACGTTATTTTCTGTGATTATCGACGGCATACCTAATGTTGTTAATTAAACTTCCGTTCACTTTTATGCCGACTGTCTCGTTTACCAAAGCTTCTTGTATGATTTCTTCAGAATAAGCATTAAACAATAATGGCGACACTATGCAACCTTATCTGACCCCTTTCCTTATCTCCACTTCTCCTGACACTCCTCTTCCAATTTTCACATTTAATCGTTGGCTGCAGTATAAATTTAATATCAATGTTACATCCCTTACATCCAGATTCTTGTCTTTGAGCACTTCTATAAGTCAGTCATGGCAAGTCTATCTGCATGGTCTATCGGCAAATCGTCATGGAAGCTACCCACGCTTAAAACTTGGGCAAGGTACCCAAAGAAGAAGAAGAATAAGTTGGTCATATTTTACTTTATCGAATGCCTTGTTGTAGTATATAAAGCATACATAAAGATCTCGATTAACATCCAAACATCTTTGGATCAGCACGTTAAAAGAAAATAGTGCCTCTCTTGTGCCCACTTCATTCCGAAATCCAAACTGGGAATCATTAATATCCATCTCCAGCTTAGCGTGTATTATATTATGGATGATTTTTAGCAGTGTTTTTAAGGGATGTTACATTAGACTGATCGTTCGATAATCACTACATTCTTTGGCATTTATTTTCTTTGGTAGACAAATAAATGTTGATGTCAGCATTTACGTGAAATGATTCCTGTGGAATAGATTGTGTTCAGTAGTTGGACTAAAAGAACTATGTTTTTTTCATTGGCCAGTTTTAGCAATTCACGTGGTGATTCATCTGGACCAGCAGCTTTATTATTTTTCATGAACTTTACATGCATAACTTCTGACTTTGTTATTTAGGGTCCCTCGTCTTTACTCTGATTATGTTTATATATATTTTCCTGTCTCAGGTCATGGAATAATTCCTCTATATATTCTTTCCATCTTCCTAATTTTTGTTCCGTCTCCACTAAAATGTTTCCTTGTTTGTCCAATAGCATGCTTGAGGTTTTTTGTTTTGCTAATCCAGTTAATTCTTTATCTTTCTTATGGAGATTGCAGTTATCATATTTGTTTTGTAAGTCTTCTATTTCTTGGCATTTTTCAGCGAAATAGGTCTGTTTAGCTTCTCTTATTGAATGGTACGTGTAGGTTCAATTCAGTACCCTCATAAAGTCTTCCCTGATGAATAGTTAAACTTGAAATACGTGTAGGATAATGACAACACACTCGAAATGAATCCTAACCATCTATAGTCATTATTTTGTTTATTTATTTAGCTTGCTTCTGATTAATTTGCGGTTGTTATCAATAAGCCAGAAATAGAGCCAAATACAATAAAATCTGACATCTTTAGCGGCTCTGATCCAATAGACAAACAAAACATCAAGTAAATAAAAAAATGTTACAGGAAAGCATTTTCTGGAAAACGAATGGATCTAACACAGAGTTTAACAGTGTTTATGCGTACTTTACATCAACTTAAAGATTAAGAAATGGTAGAAAGTAAATTGATCTAATACTAAAATAAGATAACGAATAATTTTCAGCATAATTACCCAGTCTTCAATAAAGTAAGACAGTTCTAGAAGTAGCAGTTGGGTGATGTGTTGAAAGGCGAAAAATATGAATTACTTCAAGTTATACTGGAAGGAAAAGTACAGGACAAAGGATCAGTAGAAAGACGCCACAACTCATGGCTGAAATACCTTAGTAGATGGCTCGACCGCTCATCCGCAGAAATCTTTCGCGCAACAGTTTCCAAAACCACAATTGTTATTTGGATCGCCAACCTTCGACAGGAGACAATGCCATGAGAAGAAGAAGAAGTAGTAGATATATTTATTTATATATAAAAGAAAATACCTAAAAACACCAAAGGTCATTTGCGCAATAAATCGAAGAAAAGAGATCCGTATACACAGTTTCCTAAGTAGGTCAAATATTTAAAATAGCCCGAATATATTTTCATAATTGCAAGTAGATTAAGTTAACAGTGTATCATTCTTTATTGATACCAAATTATATCTTTATCGTTCACTCAATTTTAACATTACAACACTAAAACTAATAATACCAATAAAATATTAACGTTATTTTTGA